GGCTGCAAATGCTTCATTGGCGAGCTCCTGTACGTCCGGAGCTATAAAACCGATGCCCTCAGGCATTTCTGTTGGAAATTTTGGTTAAATCTGGAATTAAACTGAGAAAACAGATGTGCTATAAATTTAAATTTTTCAGCTCACTACTGTGCGTTTGTAAAACGTTATGTTTAAAGCAATATTTGGTCTACTCCGGTGCAAGGATTTCAAGGCCAAACTGTTTCCAGGAACAGCAGTACAGTATTCTAGTGTGCACCAACCTAGTATTGTCAAGATCTCCTCGATCTAAAAGACCTTTCGGTTAAGACAAAGATCACCTCGATCTCAGAACCTTTCAGTTCAAAACCTTTCGGTTTTAGGGCAAGTTCCTGTGGGCATAGTTTCTGCAGCAGCAGCACAGCAACAGCAACAACGTCAGATCTCCTTGATCTGATGTTCGTTTTCCAAGCTCGCGTGTGTATATCCATGAGCTGTCCAAGGGCGCTATTTATAGGCCTCTAAGGCCAGCTTAAGAGTCACTCGCAATTAATGTGACTGTTACAATTCTCAATGGTAATTAAGATTATAATATCAATGCATTAAATTGCTCTAAATGTTGTTATAACTGCTGCATGCAAAAACTCCTGAATACGAGGTAATCAATGGACGCGTTGCTACGAAACGCGAGTGTCACGTCTCAGCAAATCAGACGAACATCGTCGAACGGGCGAACCTCGTATGACAGACGAACCTTGTCGAACGAGCGAACCTCGTCAAACAGGCGAACCTCGTCGAACGAGCGAAACCCGTCAAACAGGCGAACCTCGTATGACAGACGAACCTCGTCGAACGAGCGAAACTCGTCAAACAGGGCGAACCTCTCGTATGACAGACGAACATCTTCGAACAAGCGAACATCGTCAAACAGGCGAACCTCGAGAACATCAGGGTCACACCCTCGTACGAATACGTAGCCGTCCGCATGCTGCGAAGCAGCTTGCGAGGCAACCTTCGTGGCAACTATAGTGGCAGTCAACGTGGCGCCACCTAGCCCCGATGCGTCTGTATGAAGTATGCCTAACAAAACGCCACTTAGCGCCTTAGCCCGATTAGCCCCGATCCCGGGCCCATTGGCCCACGGCCCACGGCCCACTAGAACTTATGAGAGATTAATTAAAATAAAACACTTCTCGGTTTGTCGTTGGCAAGCCTCGAACAAAGGATCTTTTAAAACACCAAAACATTAACTTTTTCTACTAGACTACTAAGCATTTATGAAAAGTACTTGTAGTTAATATATATATATATAGTTTGAAAACTTATTTTGGAAAGCGGTTTTGACCAAAAAATCCAACAATCTCCAATTGTAGTTTATCATAAACAAAAATCAATCTGATATGTTTATATCTGGTTTATCATCATATAACGATAGCTGATATGTTTGGATGTTACGCAAAACTCCAATTGTAGTCGACTTTCGGATGATGATCTGCTTAATTTGACCTTTTCGAGTGTCTCAAGACCTGCACATTATCCTGATTCCCCTTGAACTCAATGAACTCGCCAAGAATCTTCCTATCACCTCTGAATTGTAACATGTAGAGCAATTATTAATGCAATCAAAGGCTTTAATAATAAGCATTGCAAATGAAGTTGGACACTTTGCAAAAATGCTTCAATCTAAGAACATATTTTTTGCAAAACTAATTAAAAACTATCACGTATATGATACTACATTTTGTGAAACTAATTTAAAAACATCTTTTTGCCAGTTCTTTTTGCACGGTTAATGTTATACGTGACTAAACCTTTTGTTACGTATGATGTCACCCCAGATGCAATATCAAGCCAATGTATGGTTAGCTTAATCCTTTCTCATGTAAACTTTTTCTATCTACATGAATAATCCTCTTATTTAAGATAACATTCACTGCTGAGCAAGTCACTCTTCAGGATACGCTTCATTTGTTCAAAGACCACATTTGGAGTTCTAATTGGTGCACAATCCCAATTTGTTTGAAAGAAATTATCTAACATTATATGTGTTGGGAGTCGAGAGACCCACCCTGCCGCGGAAGCTAAATTAATCCTAAGAGAAAACAACTTGAGCTTGAGTTTAAGCCAAACTCAAACTGACTAATACAAACAATAAACTACTACACGGATAAAACAGTAAGTAAAGTAGACGAGACAACAAATTTACGTGGTTCGGCAAAATTGACTACGTCCACGAGAGCCATACAGATAATTTCTTATTTAACCACAAGAAATTACAAAGCTTGTAAAAGAGAATATCTCAAACTTGAGATATCTCACAACACCAACAGAGGTAAAATCGCATCTGTTAAAATCGTGAAAATGAAGCCCCAACTCAACTCGTGAACATGGTTTCCCTTTTATAGGGAAACCCTAGGGTTTGAGCAATCCAGCTGGCCATAGCTGGCATCCACCATAGGCTAAGGGAGCGCTCCATCAGGTGAGCTCCCACAAGCGACATGCGAGCTCCACGGGCAACACTGCAGGCGAGGTCCATGCTCAACAGCAGAGGTTGAAACCATCAGGCGAGTTCACCCCTCGCCTTCCACGTTCGCAGGCGACCACAGCTCAGGCGAGTTTCACGCCCTAGCAACAGGCAAGCTCTCTCCTCGCCCTCTCCGCGCGCAGGAGGGGGGGGGGCACCCACGTGTTTGATCGCGTTCGTTACAAACGCGTTCACGAAGTGCAGTTTTGTTGCGTGGGGTCCACCTAGCCACGTGACTTTGTTGTTTCCTCGTTTCTGCATGAACGAGTTCAGCGACAACTTGCGGATGCGGCCCACCCGAAGACATGCAGCTATATATAGCTTGGGGTTTCTCCCTAGGTTTTAGAGCAAGGTTGGGCTTGGAAATTAAAAAGTCGGCTGAGGTTATTTTTCTCTGGCAGTGTGCAAACGCAGAGAACAAAGAGGTGATTTTGAGCGGCTTTTTTATTATTTTGTGCATCCTTTTGTAGAGAGATATTGTGAGGGATTTAAGAGTTTGTGTGAGGGTTTAGATTGAGAGTGATTATAAATCCTAGTTGTAATCTCTCCCTCTAATAGTAGATCTCCCTCCTCCTTGCCCCGTGGACGTAGGCAATTTGTCGAACCACGTAAAAATTGGTTGTATCGCTTTTGTGTGATTTGTAATAGCTTTTAGGATCCCTCGACAGGTCAGTCCTAGAACTGATGAGAGGAAGAGCTGATATCTCACTTTGTTGAGATATTCGCTTCAGATTCTTGTTTCCTTGATGAGACATGAATTCTTATTGCGATCTGACTCTCTTGTTGTGCTGCTGAAGTGCTGCCGAAATTTTCGCTGCGCGCAACAAGTGGTATCAGAGCCCAGATTTTAGATCTAGGGTGTTTTGTAGTTTGGTGGAGGAAGATTTTTTGTGTGAAGCTTGGTTCTTGGAGT